ACTTTATGTTTAGATTTTTTGCCACAAAAAAGAAAAAAAAGGTGAAAGATGGGTCAACAAAAAAAATTGTGTTATAGACTTTTTGCCATTTAGAATTTCCAAGTCAGCAAAATAAATTTATTTTATGTGATTAATAAGGTGACATGACATCTGTTGGTTTTGAAGCATATTGATTCCTCCTTGATGAATCTTATGCAACACCAATTTGAATTAGTCTCAATCTTAATACGCATACGAAATACCAAACAAATAAAAATTAAACAATGCGAAGTAGTAGGTGATACTTTCAATGACGTGGAGGAATCAAACGACATAGCTATTAGCTAGTTATTTGGAAATCCTTTAAAGAATCTAAGCTATTACAATTTCAAGAATCATTTGATGTTTGGTAGCAACTCTCAATTAGTCATTGGATTGTGCTTTCTTTTTTAATAAGAAAAGAATTTGATTTATCTTATTTATCCTTTATAAATAAATAAACTTTTTCTCTTTCATTTTCACCTAATTAATTTATACAGTAATATTTTTATTGGGTTCTAATAGGTGTGAATGGGAAATGAATTATTATTTTTTTCAAACAAAAAATCAAGAGAAAAGATGCAATTTGAATAGCACATTTCCACATGCAATGGATTGTGACTTTTCTGATAAGCTATGGCTCTTACGAAAAATTGTAACTTTTCTCCGATAAAGCACAATAATTATATGTTCATACTATCTTTGGCTTGATCTGAAGTTTAATTCTAAGCTTTCCATTCTGAACTATCTTTGTCTTCCATGGCAACGGTAGCTAGCCACTTAGGAATCGTTTGGTAGACTGTATAAAAATAATGTTAACTAGAGTGTATTAATAATGTTTGCATTAGCTAGTAATACTTATATTAATTATACATAAAATATTTTTTATGCATTGTTTGGTTAGGTGTATTAGAAAAAAGTATGTATTGTATAAAATATTTATTTACAAAAGCATCCTCCACAGTTATAATGGAAAAAGATGTAAAAGTGTTTTTGAGGGGTAATTGAGTTGTTCACCATGCTAATGCATGTATTAAATTTTTTGCATTACTAATACACTCTTCAAATTAACAAAGAGTGTGTAACTAATGCTTGCATTATTTATACATAACATAAAAAAATGTACCAAAAAAAGTACTACTAATATACAAAGCTAATGTAAACATTATTTTTGATAATACACTCTACCAAACGACCCTTTACAGTTTAGGAAAGCAAAATTCATAGCCTAATATATATTTTTCATTAAATTGTATCAAAATTATCCAAATTATTTGTCGCAAGTGGTAGAAGCTCTTTTTGGATGAATTTGTAAGGTCATAGCTTTTCTTGGAAAAACTTTTCAATTTGATCTTTTGATTTGTTTATTAATTACTTGTTCATTTTTAAATTGACACACATATTAAGAAAATAATAATTGACATAGTAAGTTTATCATTTTGCCCCTATTAATTATGAAATAGATGAATTTAAAATTTAAAATTTTCAAAAATTTATACCTTTTTCAAAATTAATTAATTGAGGGTATAATAGGTCAAAAAAAAATTGTTCTTTCTTAATTTGTCAAAATGGACAAGTAAAAAGAAAAATTTGAACAAGTAATTAAGGACGGGAGAGTATAATTTAATATGATTCATTCATCATGTTCTATCAAGTTTATCCAATGATATTACAACAGTTTTATCAATATTACTATAAAAAAAAATTATTTAATTGAAAATAATGATGCATTTTGCAGAATATTTAATCAAATATCGTTATATTTCTTTTCTAACAGTTGAATTAGATAGTTCCAAATCATCCAACAACTTAAATATAATCAGAAAGTTCAAAATTAGCTACAAAAATCAAATTTCAAAAGAAATAAAAAATTAATACTCATATTTCATGAAAAGGGAGAAGGTACACGGCAAAAGAATATTTAAGGCAATAATTGAGTTTAAACGGATGGATTACTACTTACCATATGTTAAAAAAAAATGAATACAAGATTTTTCATGCTATGAGAATTAATGTAAAAAAATGTGATTTCAGTCTGCCCTGATATGATGATAGTCATTTTATTAGTGAAAATGGTTTGAAATATATCAGAACTTTGATCTAAATTATTGTAACAATCTCAAATTTGGGCAGGATCTATTACCCTTTTGCACTATTTAATATTGAATTTTAAAGACATATAAGTGTTCACGTGGACATCATAAAAATTGCATCATTATAAATAGTAACTTGTCCAGCTGGACACTTATATATCTTTAAAATACACTATTAAATAATACAAAGGGTAATAGGTCCTGCCCAAAATTTGAGATTGTTACAACAATTTCGATCAAAGTTCGAATATATTTTAGACATTTTCCCCTTTTATCTATTTTATATATTTAAAAAGCTAATTTTTTTAGAGCAACTTTCACATATAGCAAACACAAAATTCATATTTGTATGCTATAGCAAAGTTTGCATAATTGTACTCCATAGCAAACATAAATATGTATATTTCGCTATACATATACAAAAGAAAGCAGTTGTATAATCTGTTTTGGTATACATATACAAAAAGATCAATTGTATAAAGTGAGAGAGGCGAGTGAGCGAGCAAGATCTGGGAGAGTGGCGAGCGAGATCTGGAAGAGGGTAGAGAGGGGAACGAAAATATATGTATATATACAATTTTCACGCATTTTATACATTTGCATTTTTGTATAAAGTGAGAGAGGCGAGTGAGAGAGCGAGATCTGGGAGAGGGGAACGAAAATATATATATATACACAATTTTCTCTCGCTTTATGCAAACACAAACGCATTTTATACAATTTGCGTTTTTTGTATAAAGTGAGAGAGGTGACTGAGAGAGCGAGATCTGGGAGAGGGGAAAGAAAATATATGTATATATACAATTTTCTCTCGCTTTATACAAACACAAACGCACTTTATACACTTGCGTTTGTATAAAAAACGAGAGAGGCGAGGGAGAGAACAAGAGTGGCGAGCGAGATTCACCAGGAGAGAGGTGAAATAACAAAAATTTGCTATGATGTACAATTAAATCAAACTATATTTATAGCATTTAATTTGAATTAATAGTTTGCTATTATATACAATTTTCCCCTTTTTTTATGATCTAAAGAAAATGATGCTGTTGTTGGTGAATGAATTTCTATTAACTAACTAACATTTTATTACTCTAAATTTTTTATTACATGAAATACTAAAGTTCACGTATATCAAGAAAAATATTTAAGGACATTTTATTATTGACCTTTGTAAAATTATAGCTATAACTTTGTAAATAGTGTAATTTATGTCCTGGAAAATATACAACTTAAATAAATGAAAGGATAAATATGGAAAATAATTCAAACATCTAAAAACTAAAAATGACTTACAAGTATGTTTGACAAACTTTTAAGTCAATCCAAACATACACTTAGAGTTTGTTTGGTATAAATGAAAACATTTTCAGGAAAATATTTTCCAATTCTCTCATGTTTAGTTAGCTTAAATATTTTGGAAAATATTTTCCAAATAAAAATGGTTTTCCTTCAAAACTTAGGAAAAACATTTTTCAAAACTCTCTTCCAACCTCAAATTACAATTTTTTTTCTTATCCCACACCCACTCCCCTAACCACCAAACCAGCCCTTCCCCCAACAAAAAAAACTTAACAATTTAAAATTTATATATTTTAAAAATTTAAGTTATTTTCCCCGATCACCCCTACCCTTAAAAAAAATAATTTAAAATTTTGAAATTATCATTTTCTTTAACCGACACCTACCCATCCCCAAAGAAAAAAATTAAAATTTTTATATTTAAAAAAAATAATATTTTTACCCCACCCCCTACTCCTACCCCTACCAGCTCCCCTCCCCCCAAAAATATTATTATTATTTAAAAAAATATTGTGTTTGAAAAATATTTTAATTTTTTTTTTTATCCCACCTTATCCCGACCTCTACTAGCCCCCCTCCCTAAAACTAGAAAAAAAAATCATTTTTACCCTACCCCCTCCCCCCCCAATTTTTTTTTAAGTTTGCTTTTTAAAAAATATTGTTTAATTTTTATTTTTTACCCCACCCTACAGTGACCCCCTTACAAAGAAATTTAATTTTCTTAAAAAAATAAATCCCAGCTGTGATTGGATCTCGATTCGAAAGTTGGGGTTGAAATTTCTATTTGAAAGTCGAATCTTTGGTCTCGCATCAATTGTTGGGTCTTGATGGTAGTCAAGTCTCGATTTGAGTGTCGGAGTTGAATTCTGAATTGGTCGATCGTATTTAAGTTTGGGTGTCAGGGTCAAGTCTTGGGTCGGCTATCCGGCCCCCGGTTCGAATGTCTCAGGTTGGAAGTCAGAGTCAGGTCTTGAGTCAGATATCTGAGTCAGGTTTTAGATAGGTCGTTCGGATTGTATCCTAGTTTGGGTGTTGGGGTCATGTCCTATATCAATTATTTTCCTAAAAAGTATTTTCTACTCTCTTGCAAAAAATAAAAGATATTTTCTGAAAATTATTTTTCATTCACCAACCAAACACTAAAAATACTTTTCAAAAAATATTTTCTATTCACTGACAAAAAATGAGAAAATAAGTTAAAATCCACTTGTTTTCAAGGAAAACATTTTCCTAATACATAATATGGAACATAGGGAGTATGAGTGTCATAGTATAGTTTTTTTTTTTAAAAAAAAATTTAAACAAAATTAGATATGGATATTAATTGAAAATAATATTTAAAAATGTGTGCACATAGACATTGATTTATTATTAGATTTAATAATGACGTGATGAAGTAGTGAAAAAACAAAATGAAAGGTGAGTGGTGAGTGGAGTGAAGATGTGTATATATAGAGGAGTAGCAAAGAAAGAAGCAATACAATACATTGAAACAGAAAGTGTAGTAAGTTAGAAAAATTGTGAAAACGGTTATCGCTTTGAGTTTTAGGGTTTCAAATCTTCAGCTTTCTTCTTTGCTCATGCTCATGTTCTTGCTCATGGAGTCCAAAGGTTTGCTTCTTCTCCAAGTTTTCGTAAATATGCATTTTTGCTCTGTTTACTCTGGTTAACTATCTTGAACTCATATTTCTTTGTTACCATTATGTAGTAGATCTTGAACAGATACTGAAGGAAGTTCATCACCGCTGGCTTCTCCCCCATGAAGTTTGTCAAATCTTGCGCAATCATCAAAATTTCTGCTTGACTCAACAGCTTCAACTCAAACCTCCAGGTTCATCATTATCTCCACAAACGATTTTCCTTTGCATTCATTTTAACTAATATAGCTTTTCTGTTTCAGCTGGTTCCATCTTTCTATTTGATCGGAAAGTACTACCAAATTTCAGTAAAGATGGTCACCATTGGAGAAAGAACAAGGACGGTGAAACTGTTAAAGAAGCTCATGAAAAGTTCACGGTATGCTCATTTGCTCTTATCGTGTTCTTGTCATTTTCAAAGACAATTTCTGATTTTTGGTGAATTAGTATCTAATTGGTCGAGTTGCCTAAGTTTTTCTGATTGCTCTTTTCAATCTGTAGTAAAAACATGAGATTGCCCGTGTTTAACAGCTTTGGGTTTTATCTTTGATTTAGTTTATCACTGACATAATTTTTTTGATATCTTTACTGCTTAAAAGCAACTTTTAGGAAATCAGATTACTTTTTTCTTTGGGTGGGGGAGGGTGTAATAGTTTATTGATATTGTGGGGAAAATCACTCTATACAAGAAATGTACCAATATAATTTCCGTATGCTTGCAAAGTTGGTTTTCACCTCTGGATAAATAAAATTACCAAGTTGAATTTTAAAGGAAGTCAAGAACCACCTATGAGAGACCATGTTAAATGTTCTCTCCAAGTTGTAGTAATGTTTCCATAATAAGGTTACTTTACGTTGGTTTTAGCGTAAATCAAGTGAAACAACACTATTTTCAGCTTGAATTGACTATTTTAATTGGATACAGATTCTTAGGCCTCTTAACATACTTATTGGTGCTAGTTAAAATAGCACTGATCAAATATAGAGGATTTTAATAGTCGACACCAGCCACCTTGTTTGGGATTAAGACATAGTTGATTATTTTAATTGAAGTGCAAAATCTTTGCCATCAGATGAAGTTTCTATAAAGTTATGCGGCCTAGAATTCCCTGAAAGCACCCTCCAATTTCATTATATATATCTATAAAGTAAGGCCTAAGTCAACCTCAAAAGTTAGCTCAGGGGAGGATTTCTCATGACAATATAACAGGACCATAACCCATTCCGTCAATCAATGTGGGACTTTTCAGCGTTGATACCATAACACAAGCCTCAACATTGAGAAACATAACAAGCGGCTAGCTCATGAGGAGAGGATTTCTCATGACAATATAACAAGACCACAACCCATTCCCTCAATCAATGTGGGACTTTTTAGCATTATAACATAACACGGGCCTCAACATTGAGAAACATAACAAGCAGGATCAGTATGTCTAACTCTTATACCATGTACATAAATGAATCTTGGGCCTTACTCAATCCCAAAAGCTAGTTCATGAAGGGAGGATTGTCCAAGACCACAAAAGGGGACCACAATTTAGTTCTTCAATCAATGTGAAACTTAACAGTAAGTTTGAACAAAGAATACAAAAGCTTATTGTATTTAGAAAAAACATGGATATATATGCAAGCTGCTCTTCTAGTTACTGTAATATCTGCTAAACAATAAGGCAACCTTTATTACTTGACCTTTATGACCAATAGAAATCCAGACAATTTGTATCAGTTGCATGAAGACTAGACGACCTAATTATATTAAATTCACAGAGCAATGACTTCTTTACATTTTGTATGTGTTGTCGACTAGATCTTGACCAAACGATTGTGCATCTAGTAACTTTCTCTTTATTTAAAACATCAACCTTTTTTCTGATTGCAGGCAGGCAGCATTGATGTTCTTCACTGTTACTATGTCCATGGGGAGGACAACAAGAACTTTCAGAGGCAAAGTTATTGGATACTTGAAGAGTGAGTCTCTGTTTTTGGTATCCTGTTAGCTTGGTCTGTGATGTTGCTTTGAGGTGAAGACGTGTGCTAGGGGAAAATTACAGAAACAGATTATGTAGTTTGACGAATACTTATCAGTTTAAGCCAGTTTCACATATAATTTCATTTTCCTTTATCTGATTTGATGTTTATCAGTTATCTGGATATTCCTTACTGTTCATTTTTTTGTCAGGTTTCCAAACTTTAATTATATTTTGTGCTGTATATTAGATCTAAAAGAATGAGAATGTATAGTATTGTTCTTCAAAGAATTTATCAAAGGTTGGATATGTAGAGGTTCTCTCAAAGGGTACTGTAGCAATATATATGTTTCCTGTTAATTTAATCTAGTATGGTTCCTCAATGGGTAGTTTGGATAGTCTGGTGTTCATAATATTTCTTTGGTCAGGAAATGGTCACGGTGGTTGCCTTGAGACCCAGAATATTCTATGATAAAACTAATAGGAAATGGATTTTGTTAGAGTACATTGGAGGCAAGATTACATGTTAACTTCACCTATTGAACTTAATGGAGGTTTACATCCCGGTATGCTTCTTACTCCTTCCCTTAGAAAAAGAATAAGGAGATCTGATTTAAGGAAAACAGGCATTGTCCTTTGATTCTGAAAGAGTTTCCTTCAAGGAATGGTGTTACTCTTTTAAGTTCAGTCCACACTACATAGTTGATGTTTCAGTTTACTTCAGTGATCAAGTATCACCCGCTGTTACTTTTTCTTTTCATTTTAGTATTAAGATCGGTCCTGTCTGACTTAGATTGCATGCACCTCAACAAATCCACCTGAAAGCTTATCCAGGTCACAAGCACAGGATGTCAAGATAACCTTGTCCACCCAGGTTGGAGCAGACTGCTCTCACAAAGTGTACGCTGGGAATCGAACTTGCATTCTCCAAATTGTTATTCCCATGCCTCAACCTCTATGCAATCACATTGTGACTCTCTATCTTTTTGTCGTAGAGCTTTCCTTAGGCTAGTGATTTTCCTCTAGCTTTCCTTGGTTGCAGTGGAAGTACCTCCAAAATAAAACTAATTATGGTGTGTATCTACCTTATCAAAAACAAAATTATTTATGGTGGTTTTGAGTCATTGAGAAGAAAGGCTAAATACATAGACAACTCCTTAATTGCGCCAGTTTTCTAACATGCTACAATTGCCCCAACAGGGGCACTCATTTTTTCAAGATGCTTCTTCAGAAACTCTTCGTTTGAGGGTTGGGGAAAGTTCTTTAGAAGAAGAAAGGGGCAGGGTCGAAGAAGATGACCGGTAGGAGGTGGTTCTGAAAACACAGTGCTTGGGGGTTGGCAGAGTTCTATGGAAGAAGAAATGGAGAGTATATGAGGAAGAAGATGACTGGTGGGGGGAAGGAGGTTCCGAAAACACAGTGCTGGAGGGGAGGGAGTTCTATGGAAGAAGAAAGGGGTCAGGGTCATGGGAAGAAGATGGTGGGCGACAGGAGTTGTTAAAATTCCTTTTTTTTCCCTCACAAGCTTTTTATTTAGGGGATAGCTAGGCTCAAGAGCCACATGGCTTTTTTTCATTTCTTTATTTTTTGCCATGTTGCGACAAGTGAAGCTCAATTTGTTTTACTGGCTAGTCATGAGGGACTTAATAGGCACACGTGGACTAAAGTTGGAATGTCTAATAGGTACAAGACTCAGTTGAGGTGTCTCAGTGAAGCTTGTTGCCAAGTTTAGGAGTTTGTCTATGCATTATTCCAAAAAATAAATAAACATTTACCACTTGCTGTAAATATACTAAAAGAAGTTGCAAAACTAACTCCAAGTTAACAGTCCCTGTTCATGCATTGCACATTTGATGGTGCTACTACGTAATTAGTAATTATGCCCACTCTTGTAGATCTCCTTTGGGGTTGGTTATGCTTTGGAAGTTTTGCTGTAGCAAAAAAAGATGTGCTGGAGGGACTTATCAAATCCAAAATAAATTAATAAATGTCCTCTAGGAAAATGCTCCATCACCAAGCTTTATGGTAATACTGGCTTATTAAGTAGGCTTGAGTTTTCCTCAGATAATTACATCCTTCTTCCTTTGTGCGACTTAGTATATTCTCTAGCTCGTATTTAAGTGCTTTATAGATATATACAATGAACATTCTTTATGGTTGAAACCTGCAGTTTCTATAGAAAAAGGAATGGCAGTGAAGATCTTAAGAAAATATTTTATGTTCTTAGTATCTGATATAGTCCTTGTAGATTTTAGCATGATCGTTCTTGATTTTATTTTACAGACAGTTGGAGCACATCGTCCTTGTGCACTACAGAGATGTAAAAGAGGTATTTCCACATCAGTTTAATCATATGGTCGTGTGTTTCTGGGGATGCGTTTCTGTTTGTTATTTCTCTGATTTTACACTTAATATCTGTCTTCTGTTTTTCATAGTCCTGCATCATATATATCTACATGGTGTTTGTCTGTGTTTTCTACTTTATAACTTGCAGATGTGGTGGCTAACATGATGGATTCATTCTATTATTTTTTTTAGATCCTGATTTGCAAAGAAATTTCTGGGATCGAGGAAAGGGGAATATGAAATGAATGTCTTATAACTACTAGGAATATTAGTACTCGCTCCATTTCATATTATATGGCGATGTTTGATAGATGGGAAATGTAGTTTGAGATTTTAACTGACATGTTTATGAAGCTACTGGTAGTGGAAAAAAGTATTGAAATATGGTTAAAAAGTTAGTCTGATAGAGAAAACATCACATCGAAGTTTAAAATTTGAATATACTAAATAATTTAAAATTATTGGAAGTTGTGAAAATTATATAGTATTAATATTACCAAAGCGAATAATGTCTAACATTTTGAAACGTCCCTACATAAAAAAAATATCAGATAAATTGAAATAAGAGTAGTATGATCAAGAAAGGAGGATTTTGTTCTCAGTTAAAGTGTGTGTACCCAATTTACTTGTATTTGCGTGTAATGTGTATAGTTATAAGTCAAACAATCTTAAAAACATCATAATGTTATATTGAAGATCAATAGAAGTTGTCAATAACAGGAAACATATTAGATTGATATGCTATACAGGAGTCTTTTTTTGTCCTGCTCATATGTTGGAAAAGATCTTTATGTTTGCATATTAATAGGTTAATTGTGCTTAATTAATCTAATAATTATCAGAATAATTTATCCACTTAGTTGTTCAAGGCAAATATCTACTGTTAGTCCTGGAAACACAATGGCATACCAGAAAGTTGTTGCATAGAGTATGCTTCTTCTGTATGTTTATATTAATTGGGGAAAAATACTCAGAAAATCTAGTCACCAGTTCCTTTTTTAGGGGGATGAAGACAGAGAGTTATCAAGCTACATGTAGCAAACTGACTTATTATGAGATGGCGTGTGATTCTTAGTCTCTATCATAGTAGATTAACATATATTATTGATATGTGCCATGCAGGGTTACAGAGTAGGTGCCTCCCGTCTGCAACCTGTACATCCAGGGTTATTGCTTGAAAATCCTGAAAGTAGTTCCAAGCCTTGCTTTGTATTAGGCCCAACATTTCAGAAATCTCATACATCAAGTCCAAGCTTAGTTGACTGGAAAGAACAAGCACTCTCTTCTGAACTTCACAGTGGTGATTCCAAAGGTAGTTTTCTCTTTGATGCTTCCCTTAATTCATAATGTTTGGATAAGGAAACTGGTACAGTATTATAGCACTTCATAAGTTGTTCTTATATAATACAAACTAAGGACCTTGTTTTGTCTTGTAAGGACTTATGGAGTTCTCGAGGTCACAGGAGAGGTTTCAGCTCAATCCACAAGTTAGAGCATTCATGTCTTCTGGCTTTCGTAGATCAGACAGAAATTTAAATGTTATGCTACAGAGAAAGTTCTACTCGGGACACTTTAATCTGGCTGATTTGCGGTCCAGTAAACTCACTTATGCAAGATTATATGCTGGTAAAGCTCTGGCGAACAACAGAAACAGATTGACAATTACTTCTGGGGAAGTATTTGAGGTACTATAATTTGTGCTATAGATGTATTCATGTAGTCATTGGTGTTCCTCTTTTTTGTTTTTCTTTCAAGAAGGGGGTAGGGAAATAAGCATTAAAGACAATTGAGATATTGGAAATTTGTAAGTTCTTGGTACATATCTTCAATGTGTTTCATCTGTAGGATCAACATGCTCCAAGCATATTTTTAGTTTTTTATCGTTTTCCATAGGCTGGTTCTGAACTTCTGATAGCATACCCAAAAGAGGTTAAGATTTTTATAAAGTACATATATAGAGAAGCATTTAATATAATGGTTGGCATATCTTGATTTAACTAGAATTATTCTTCTGACATCATGATTCATTGCAATGTGTCCAGTTTTTGAACATCTGCATTGTTCAGTGTTGGTGATGCAAATTCATGTTCAAAGGCAAACTCACTTTCAAATGTGGCTTTGGAAATTTCGGTTGCTCCATTTGTACATTCTTTTTTGGTTTTCTAAAAATAATTGCTATTAACCTATTATAGCTACATTAAGACTGACATTATCTTCTATCGTTTGCCCACAGGCTTGAACTGGGATATTCTAAAATAGTGGCATTCTTTTGGTTCTTAGAATATTGATATCCATGTAGTTATTATAAGCATTCCGTTTAACACTACTACCATTTCTTATTATTGTAGGAGAATATCCATGTTGCTCCAGCTCAGATTCAGAACATTTCCAGCTCTCAGACAGCTGTTACTCCTGATGCTGCAGTTAAAACTAGTTCCTTGGATGGTGGACTCAACAGTTATGAAGTTGGAAGCCTAAAGAAACTTGATATCCTTGGAAGATGGATGGATAGAGAGATCGGTGGAGACTGCAACAAGTCCCTGATGGCCTCTGATTCTGGCAACTACTGGAATACCCTTGACACTGATAATGGGGATAAAGAAGTTTCCACTTTATCACGTCACATGCTGTTGGAAGCTGATTCCGTAGGCACTTCTCCATCCCAAAAGCAGCTGTTCAGGATCTTTGATTTTTCTCCACAATGGGCCTTCTCAGGAGTGGAAACAAAGGTAAACTTATCTGATCTGATAGAATGGTCCATTTTTCTACTCGTAACTTTGAAATCACATGCAGATATATTGTATTAGTTGTAAATGTTAAAGATTCAGATATACAACATTATTTCTCTTCAGGTTTTGATTGTAGGTACCTTTCTTATCCATGGAAAACATCTTACCTGTCAGAAATGGAGCTGTATGTTTGGTGAAGTTGAGGTGTCTGCAGAAGTTCAGACTCAAAGTATTCGATGTCAAGTTCCTTTTCATGCTCCTGGACGTGTTCCTTTTTATGTAACCTGCAGCAATAGGTTAGCATGCAGTGAGGTGCGGGAGTTTGAATATCGTGAAAAATCATCAGAACTTGCTCTTGCCCTTCGACCAAGTGATGAAGTGCGTCTGCAAGTACAACTAGCTAAATTGCTATATTCAGGACTAAACAAAAAATTCTTGGATTGCTCCAGTGGAGAGTGTGAAAAATGTAAATTGAAGACTCAGTTATGTTCTTTGAAATGCAAGACTGGAAATGCTACTGAAAGATTAGAGGACTTACTTGCCATTATTGAATGCGATCACATCAACTTCAAGGATGTGCAGATTCAGAATTTCATGAAGGATAAACTTTATGAATGGCTAGTCTCTAGAGCACACGAAGAAGATAAAGGTCCAAATATTTTGAATGACAAAGGCAAAGGGGTTATTCATCTAGTGGCAGCCCTAGGTTATGAATGGGGGTTGCTTCCATTAATTGCTGCCGGTATTAGTCCTAATTTCCGAGATGCATGTGGTAGGACAGCTCTTCACTGGGCCGCACGTCATGGAAGGTGAGTGGCCCCATCAATTTTGTACCTGGACTAACTAATTTATCCTCAACATCAAAACCTTTTAGAGTTTATTAGCTCACTGCTTTTAAGTTTCTTCTTTCTCCTTTGGGCATCTAGTGAGCCTACGTTAAATAGCAGCTCTGTAAGGCAGGTCCAACCCAACCAGCTTCCTCCTGTATGCATTAAGAACATCACTCTTCCATTAAAGGCAGTTGTTTAGAGACATGTCACTGCTTTATGTTTCCTGTACCCATAGTTAATTGAAATGTGCATGCATTTATAATAATAATAGTTGAATAATGAAGACCATAAAGTTCTCTTCGTTTCTATAGTGTATTCCCTGCCATTTGATCAGGCATTTTCCATTGAAATTCACCTCGGGTAAGTGTGAATTTCAGTACTATATTTGTGAAGAGAAAAAACTGTCTGAGCACGTCCCAGGAATTCTGCAACAGAAGCTTCATAAGTGAGCTATGTGTTGCATTTATTGATACATTACTTCAGCAGTCGAATTATTGATAGCAAAAAGGAAAAAATCACCTTAACTTGCTAAGTCTAACAGAAGATCGATATTCATTTAAAATTAATTCATATTAATGATCTACTTTAGGGAAGATATGGTGATTGCACTTATCAAGCTAGGTGTAGCTGCTGGTGCTGTTGATGATCCAACTACTGCATTCCCTGGGGGGCGAACCGCTGCTGATTTGGCTTCTAGTAGAGGTCACAAAGGGATTGCTGGATACTTGGCAGAATCAGATCTTACTGCTCATCATCAATTATTGGCTACCAGTAATAATGCTTTAGACACTATTGGTGCTGGGCTTGAAGCTGAAAAGGTTTTTGAATCTGCAGTTCAAGAGATTGTTCCTTTGAATGGGACAATAGATGATGATGTTTCCTTGAAAGGATCTCTTGCTTCACTAAGGAAATCAGCTCATGCTGCAGCATTGATTCAAGCTGCTTTTAGAGCTCGTTCATTCCTGCAGAGACAGCTTACAGAGAGTAGAAATGATGTTTCTGAAGATTCACTTGACCTTGTTGCCCTGGGCTCCTTGAACAAGGTCCAAAAGGTGAACTGCTTTGAGTACTATTTACACTCAGCTGCCACAAACATCCAGCAGAAATATTGTGGCTGGAAGGGGAGGAGAGAATTTTTGAAGGTACACAACCGGATTGTGAAAATCCAGGTAAATGGACATGTTTTTTCTTCTTCCCCTTTTTTGTTTGTCTGCTAATAAGTATGACTTATGTTTAAGTACTTGTTTTAGCTAAACTGGTCTTTTGCTAAATTTCCATTGGGGATGTCCCATTTTTCACACTTTCTAGCATTCAGATAGCCGTTTTTGTTAGTTTCGACCTCTGGCCAATTAGAAAATATTATTTACAATTGGGTACTAAGCCTGTCAACTTCACCGTTCTTGTTAGTGATGTAACTTTTCACATGAGAAGTAGAAGAGTACTGTCCATAGTTTCGTTCTTACTAAAGACTGCACAAGAAGGGTAAGAAATTATATATTACATAGTGCAAGTTGTTTTTTCTCCCTCTGTTGGTCCCAATGATTTGGCTTTTGCTTAAACTGACTCTGTGCCGGAAGTGTAAGATTGTCTGACCCTAGATGCTTTAAGCAAGTGTGTAGATGATGATGGTTAGATTGTGACTGCCATCAAATCACTTCCGAACCCTGCTAATCACATCTCCTCAGCCCTCTTAGTTTACTGGCCTTTATGTACTTGAAATTTTACACAAACTTGTGGTGTGGACTTCTCATAAATCACTTTCACTCTGAAGTTTGTTTAGATAATCTTTCCCTGATGTATTTGATGAGGTAATTGACTTTTATTTCACTAACTTAAATTGGACTTTGCAAACATGTTTGCTGAATCATTAATAATCTCTCAACCTTCAGAGTGCAGTCAAAAAGATTTTACATCATGCTATGATTTCAGGCTCATGTACGTGGACATCAAGTTCACAAGCAATATAAAAAGTTTGTATGGTCAGTCAGTATACTTGAAAAAGGCATTTTGCGTTGGAGGAGGAAAAAAACAGGATTACGAGGATTCGGCCAGAAAAAACTAGTCAGAAAGGAATACTAGAGCCTGAGAAGAAGGACGAGTATGATTATCTAAGTATTGGTCTAAAACAGAAGTCTGCTGGAGTTGAGAAGGCTTTGGCAAGAGTTCAGTCCATGGTACGTCATCCAGAGGCAAGAGATCAGTATATGAGGCTGGTTGCCAAGTTTAAAAGTTGTAAGGTGAGTCTAATCTTCTGGTAGGAGAATTTAGAATCTAACAACATACAAGCCGCCTCTTGTAATAATGCAAGGGCCAGCAACGCATTGTACCTGTGTTTATTTTACTATCTATTCTGTTATGCATGACATGGTAGATCTCTTGCATGTAAACCCACTTCGTACGAGGAGACTGCACCTCTTATCTTATGTATGCTGAAGTCCAGTCCTCCGTGCTTGTACATCTAGTGGTGAAAAACAAGAATGAGTGGGTTTCTTGCAGTAGATAAGCATAAAGCTAATGTTGTTGTTGTAGATCCCTTGTGCTTATCCACCTTAAATGTTACTATTTGCTACGAATGCCAGTGACCAATCAACTAACAGACTTTTGTTTGTTTCTGCAGCTGGATGACGGAGGGAGAGAAGTAAATAGGTCATCTTCACCAGTCTAGGTTTTCAATATATGAGCAAAGGCTCTCCAATTGTTTGTAGACTAAAATGTACTGATTGTAGTCTAACATGTCTGAAATATAGTCATCTGGGAAGAGAAAGGAGGGGTACATACATTGCGTTTTTCTGGTGTTGTCATCATACCCGGTTCCCATGAGGTTAGAATGATCAAAATGTACAGAGAGATTGTATAGTGCATTTAGGCTGGAACCCCAACAAATAGATTCCATCTACTGGGAGCATAAGTAAATGAGAAGTATGTGTGTCAAATATATTCTTGCATAGAATGTTAATACTCCTGCAATGTTAATATTTTTTTAAAATATAATGTTGTAGTTTTCTCCTTGTTATGCCTGCCATCTGAAAGCAAAATTTGGTGTTCTTGCTCTGGGGTATTGAAATAATTATGCAGGCAGAGAACTACTTAAACTACCATGAGTTTTTTCTTAATTATTATATACTAGGTAAATTGCCCGCGCTTCGCGCGGTGGTGAACTACGACAATAATCTACTTCTGAAATTGATAATATAAGTGTTTTCGAGTGGGTACAACCCTGCGATAAATTGTCAAGAATATTTTATCCAAAGATGAAATGAAATATTTTTTTAATCTTAAAACCAAAATGATTTGATTCTAAGTGTTTATACATTTTGTTATTAATTCTTCATTTTACTATAGTTATTCATCACTAAAGTCTTTAGAAAAGATATGTAATTGTTTCATTGTCTATATTTATATTTTCAAAAAGTGGTACAAACATTTTATTCATCAATTGCGAGAGTTTTTCTCCAATTCAAAGCCTCTATATATAGAATCTAAATACTCCCTCCGTCCACAATTGTTTGGCAGGTATACTAAAAATAGATGTCCAAGATTAATTGTCAATTTAAACAATCAATAAATAATTAATCACTTTTTTCCAATTCTGCCCTTAATGATTGTGTAGTTCAATTGAAAAGTTATGTGGACTTTTGGTATTTTTGATATAGTAGGGTTATATTAGTCAAATTACATCTTGTATTAAATTTTCCTTGAAGGATGTGCATGACCTTACCCTGACAAACAATTGTGGATGGAGGGAGTATTATACATCTTATATAATTAGTTGTGTACTTGATAAGTCAATTAAAATTTAAAAACACATCTCTTGGAGTTCAATAAAATAACGTATATCGCTCAAATAATTTGGATTAAATGACGTCTTGGCAAGTCCCTTATTCAAAATCATTCGCAGTCGATGGCACTACTTTGATTGCCAAAAGACATATTTTGTTGTTTATGTTTCGATCAATATGGTTAAACTTATTTTTTTTTTGCGATTTTAATATAATGTTGGGATAAGGGTCTGAAAAATATCCCAACTTTGGTCGGATTTGCTGTTGCGATACTAAATTTTCATGAGGACCTATTACCTCCTAGACTATTTAATACTGTATTTTTTACCCCCTGAACTATTTAATAGTGTATTTTAAAGGTATATATGTGCCCACGTGGACACATTACTATTTATAATTTTGCATTATTTTTTATGTTCACGTGGGCAAAAATATATGTTTAAAATACGGTATTAAATAGTCTAGGGAGGTAATAGATCCTCATGAAAGTTTAGTATCGCAACAACAAATTCGACCAAAGTTGGGGTATTTTTCAGACCCTTATCCCTATAATGTTTATAAGGAGATAATTATTTCTTTAATACTTGATTAATATGGATTCATCCTACTTTGAGGGGTAAATCATTGACTCTAATCCAACATTTGAACCCCAAACTTTTAATTAAGGTTGAGTACAATACTTACCATCCCACTACTCCTTTATTTTTTGGATGTCACTAATCGATTGAATGTCTCGATAAGATAGAAAGTTGAATAACTAAAACTCCAAGGTAGTGTGGAACCACTTTAACTTCTGAACACTCAAAAGTCTCTTCTTGGACATCTCATGGATCTTTTAGCCACTGAAAAGTCTATAAAGATCAAAGTCATTTATTTTACAAGTTCAAGAATTCTAATCTACATGACACCAATAGTCTAATGATTACATCAAACTCTTGATTAACATATCTTTACTTCAACATAATGATCAAAAGCATAAACATAAACAACAAAGTTTAAAACGTGTACTCAAAAATAGCAATTAAAAACATAAGCATAAATTAATGACTGTAATAAACATACCAGGATCTATAACAATAGAATGAAACGGAAAAGAAAAAAATCGAGCCCACTGAATGGCATTCACATTGTCCCCTTAAGGAAATTATTCTCCTCTAGTACCTGAGGTTCACAAGAATAGATCCTCTCAGGATAGAACGATTATATTCACCAGTGTATTGATACAAAAACAATGGTGTTAGTGAGTCACTCAACAGGAGCAAAGTACACGAATATTTAATTGTGCATAAGAAGAAGAAAAAGTTCAGAATTTTCGTTGTTTTAAAATGAGAGGAAATCCCTCTATTTATAGACAACAAAGGGTAGTGTGAATAAATGCTTTCCTTATTGGAAAATTCACAACTCTTTGGAAAAGTCACAACCTTTCATAAAAGTCACAACTTATCATAAAAGTTGAAACTTTTCATAAAAGTCGCAACTCTTCATAAAAGTCGCAACTTTTCATAAAAGTTGCAACTCTTCGTAAAAGTCGCAACTCTTCATAAAAGTCACAACTTTTCATGAAAGGAAAGACTAATTTTGGAAATAAAAAAATTTAAAAAGAAATCCTGGTTTATGATAATGCCACGTAGGCGGGTTTACGGTTCTCTTTTATATATATATATATGACTATTAGTTGTGACTGATATTTATTTTGTAATAGTTTGATCAATTTTAGTGTTCCAAGGACTAAGATTAGATATTTTTCTTTCCGCCAAATTGATTAGGATAAGAAATAATTCATGGGTGGCCAGCTAATTAATGTTGGCAAATTTCACTTAAGACCTGCTCCTCCTTCATATTCTTCTTAGTTGTTGTACAATAAGGTTATTGATACTTACAGAGCATCATGGTGTTATATTAATATCTCTACTCTTTGACTTGTTTAGTCAAACTTTTGAAATTTGTCTATTTCTTAATGACATGTCATATTTTTTAATCCATGTGCAAGTCATATGAGTTTAACAATTATATTTGTCAACTTTTTTGTCAGTTTGACCATAAGCATACAAGCTTTTGCAAACTTGAAGGAAAAATAGTGTTTAAGGTTATATTTGGAGGATAAATTTAAACCAACTCCCAAACATAAGTGTGATTGTTTTGACCAAAAACTCTATTTCCCCTCTAAAGGACCCAACACTTTTAACTTTTTAAAATTAAAAAAACAATACTTTTAGCTTTCAAAAAACTTCGCCGAATAGTCAAGTATTGAGTATATCTCCCATCCCATGGAATCATGATTGAGATATGATTTTAGATTAGCTGTAACACAAGAAATCTATTGGTTGACATTAGGTGATTTAAATTTCATATATACGACTTTAAAATTTGGAAATAATAAATGTAACTTTAAATTAAAAAAATTGAAGTTAGGAATTGTCTGACCAAATTTATAAAATAACAATAATTAATAATAAATTTATCATCATCATCGTCATTATTATTATTATTATTATTATTATTATTATTATTATTACTATTATTATCATTATCATCATTATCATTATTATCATTATTATTATTATCATTATTATCATTATTATTTATCATTATTATCATTATTATCATTATTATTATCATTATTATTATCATTATTATTATTTATCATTATCATTATCATTATCATTATCATCATTATCATTATCATTATCATTATCATTATCTCTATCATTATCATTATTATTATCATCATTATCATTATCATTATTATTATTATTATTATTATTATCATTATCATTATTATTATTCTCATTATTATTATTGTTACCATTATTATCATTATTATTATTATCATTATTATCATTATTATCATTATTATTATTATTATTATGATTATTATCATTATTATTATTATTATTATTATTATTATTATTATTATTATTTATCATTATCATTATTATCATTATCATCATTATCATTATCATTATCATTATTATTACAACTTGAAACACGAATTTTACAATTACATGTGTATACTAAATGAATTTGATTCTAAAGTGGTCAAACATATAAAATTTAGAAATTTTGACTATGCATTAAATAGGGGTAAATCCAGCAACAACATGAGCAAGTTCTACACTCTCTCCGTCCATGTTTAATTTGACACATTCCTTTCGAGGCAATAAAATAATAAATATACTATAACACCCTAGTTATTAAGTCATCTCATTTATCAAGCTAAAAATGTTTAAGATAATGGTGGCAAAAATTTAGGAATTGCAATAATTATTCTAAATTTTTCTTTTAAAAAAATAACAGATTACTTTCAAGATACAACACACATTCTTAACACATTTATTTTCAGATATTTTCATAAAATTATTGAGAGATAATTGCACAAATATTTTAAAATTTAGATTTATGATTTGTTCATATTATCATGTTGCCAAAAAAAATATTGGCATACAAGGCTAAGCAAATAAACAAAAGATATATATAAAGAATGACCCAAAATCAGTGATAAAAATTGTAATTTTTGAATTTTTAGATATACATTTTTCGGGAAAAAAAAACTATTTCGTAGAACATTTTCTTCATTATTACTACGATATATGATTGTATTTAATTTAAGTTGAATGATAAGGTTTTTCAAAATTAATAAATGTAAATAATGGGCTCACAAAGCTAATTGGAGCCGAACTAAATTTTAATTTGTGGTTTCTCACAAATTTAATTGACTAAAAATTAATAAATACTTAGCACTTTACTCTTGTTGGTTTTCAAAGTTGCTTACCACTATTGGAATTAGGCCTCTCTTTATTTCTTACATTTTTACTTGTCCACGGTGAGAAAAAAAAATTAAAAACTACCTTGTTTGCTTTAACATATAAAATATTTTGCTATCGTGTTTTTACATTTAATATTACGGAGTAATTTTTCCCCAAATTATTTCCTAATTAGTTATAACTTATAAAAGTTTTAACTTGATGGTCTGGCTCTACGTTTCCTTATCAATTTGCAATCTCGGACAATATTTTTCAATATTTATGTTTTTATTTGACATAGTGCCAACTCCTTTAATAGTTTCTACAATCTTTAGTACTTTTTTCTAATTTTGTTTTTAGGGATTTCAATTATTGACGATTTTTTTCTCTTTCAAGACAATTTTAGCAATTCAATTTTAAGAGTAGATGAATAATTTTAAGGCTGAAAGTAAAGTGTACTTCACCATTCTTGCTGGAGAAGACATGAAAAGCACAACATTTGAGAAAAAAAAGGTGAAACATATATCATTAGATTAATGGTGGATAAGTTATGTATGAAGAGAAAATTAAATTCTATATAAAAATAATAGTTATGTTTATAAATATCCTGATTTTCAAAATATAAATAATAAGACTTTTTACACCTTAGTTTTAAATATTTATAATTAATTAATTCGTTGAAGTGCTTGTGGATAAAAAATAATGTAATATTTTGAAACATTCATTATAATTATCAGGAAATTCAAAAGGCAAAGTAAAAAAGTGGAAAAGTTTTGTATTCCTTTCACTCAAAGTTAATCTTACACCATTTTTGATACAAAAAGTAAATAATTCATCTCAAGCTTTTAATTGAAGAAACATTAATATTGCACCACGATTGGCAGATGATTAATCTCATGCAATATTTTGATCTTCTAACATTATTCTACCAACAAAAATGAACTTTTAACACTATCAAGAAATTTAATTTAGATAGTTGTTATCTTTTCCTTTTTGCTTTACAAGCTTATTTTTTGACTTATAAATACAGTTTATTTTATTAACTTCTTATATTATTATCTCGGTGTATTCACTTGGAGGTCATGAAATTGGAGTGTCACAATTAGTAGTAAGACAAAGTAAGAAACCTCAATTAGACATATTTTGTGAAAAAGAACTCAAATCATATTTTTTTAATAGTACTCATTGATACGGATTACATGCACAAAGCACGTTCCCAGAAACTAGTTATAAAAAAAGACATCATTCTGAAAAATTATGAAGAAAAAAATATTTGTTCAAAATAATTAAAAACAGTGATTAGATTGTTAAGCCTTTTTCAAAATTAACTATGGTAAAAAAATATATTAACTAACGATTGATATATTTTGAGGTGAGAGAGAAGCATCTATATATACTAGATGAGCGTTGCCCGTGCTATGCACGGGCCCAACGTTTAAAATTTTATCATAATTTTACTTCTGTTTGATATCTGGGGTCCATCAGTGTTCCAAGAGAGTAGAAGGGGTTGCAATACACAAAATTCAACAATACCAAAACAATTCACTTTACTCTTGAATCTAGCCATAGCTACACAATAATAGGGAAAAACTAAAAATAACAATCAAAACATCGAAAACTCTAACTTTATCTGGGATTCAGTGATTTTCCCCAGTAGAGTTAAAAGGGGTTTGCAACAAAACATAAAATTATACAGTAGCAAGACAATACATTTCACCAAGATTCCTTAACCAAGATGAAAATCCCCTTCAATACTAAAATGTCATTTTGGAATTAGTTCCATACATACGAATACATGTTAGCCATAAAACATTGTGGCTACTTTCCATGTACATTTCGATTTCAAACAATACCGTATTTATAATGGATAAACACATTATAGCTGCCAAATTTGTTCATTATATATTCAGTGAGATACTTACATAGTTTAACATTTTCTTATGTGGGAGTGCTAATTACATACATTTACATAGCATTTTAAATTAGACAAAAACAGATGCATCTTTCATGCTTGGATTTTCTGGATCATCTTTGATCAAATCACCTGTTACATTAAAATTGACGGATTAAATTAGACAAAAACAGATGCATCTTTCATGCTTGGATTTTCTGAATCATCTTTGATCAAAATCACCTGTTACATTAAAATTGAGGGATTAAATGTCACAAAATCACATAATTTAAACAACATAGAATGAGCATGATGAGAAATAGTGAAACAAAAAAACAAAGCCAAATGTTTAGAACTTAAAGCATGAATTACAAATGTATGAAATGAGATCTAAGTTAAAGATTAATATTATAGTAAAAGATTGGAAAAAAACAGTTAAGAAAGCATAGTGACAATATGACCAAACAAACTGGAACAAAGCTCAATAGGCTTAAAAAATGACAATACTCATCTAAGATTTTAACCCATATAGGCGAAGAAAATCTTGTTAATTCATAAGATACAACTCAAACTATATTATATATAAGACAAAAGGAGCATTATTCATAAAGAAATTGATTCAAAATTGTGACGGTAATGTCAAAGGATTAATCAATCTGGACAAAAAATTATGAATTTTTTTTAATTTAGTTTAAACTTGTGTTGGAGAAATTTAGTTCAAGAGATTCACATGTAGATCTTGAGCAGATACTATATGGACATATGATCGCGACTGTAAGAATCTCAAGTATCGATCAATACCTAGATCCACCACATATTCCCTGAAGATCTGAAGTTGCAATCCCTATTGGTTCGATTTCAGAGTTACAAGGCCGGGAACATTCAGATGACTGTTATTATGAAGCTGTGTAACCAACTCTCAGATCACTTTGCTTCTTACTTTTATGGTATCGTTGAATAGCCACACCGGAGAACAGACTTAGCCCAATTAATTATTTTAATTGTTAATTGATTCATAGATATAACTGACATGCAGCATTTTGTATCAAAAAACAAACGCTATATAAGTAGTACGCAATTTTACATACGCCGTAAATTTTGTTATAAAAGATAAATTTTTAACTAACCTGCTATTATAGGAGAAAATATTTTCAATTTCTGCAAAAGAACAGGAACATAAGGCATCCACATAGCAACATCAAAAGCTTGCAAAACACGGCATACACTGGCAGCAGCAAAAGAGTGCAAAAAATGACTGTTTCGAGAATCACAACAAAAGTGTTTCAACTGCAATTCAAAATAATCAAAGATAATGTGTCTAGACACTGAATTGAATTCAAAGAAAATAAACACAAAGAGAAGTAAATCCTATTTATGTTAGTCAATTGGAAAGATGAACTTTAAACACTGTACAAAATAATTGAAATACCTTTTAATTCTTTTTCATGGGAGGATTTTTCATTTCCATGCTTGGATATTCTTTTTCCCCTGAACTAAGATGTTCAATTGTGCGCTTTTTCGCATCTGTAATATTGATTGTCGTAGATGCCATTGATTTATGAATCACATCTTGTTTCTCCAAGTAAGACAAAATGGATAATTTTTGCATTGCATCCAATTTTTTTGTGAATAGCCTTTTTATTTGAATGTTAAATATCTTGCCGTTCAATTCATCTTCCACATTTTGGAGGGATAATGTTTCTTTCTGGAAAAATGGAAAAGAATGATTAATAATACAAAATCATTAATAGTTTATATATTATATATATAATAATAAGAAATAAAGTGAACATACAAATAGAAAGAGATTCGATATTTTTACCATAAAAGAAGATGTTCAACAACAATATCATATGCAACGATCATGAATTTTCAAATAAAAAAAAAGTGGATGAGGAAAGAAAAGTGAATCACAAAAAAGATACTAAGTTTCTTTTTAAAGGAAAATCAATATCTCTATGTTTATGTATTTACATCTGAACTCAAATTCAATATTAAAGGTCTTTCAACTAATCAGAGCCACACATGTAGCACTTCTAAAACGGTGATGCCTATTGTGGTAGGTGCGCATGACAGCTTAGGCATAAAGTTCTCAGCCAATGGGTAACTATGTGAGATGTTATAAAGAAAGTTAACTGTAAACAGACAACAAAAAGTATAAGTTGGGTGATTCACGAGATATTTGTCTATTGAAGGTAAGTTTCCATTTCCTCATCATTTATAACATTCTATGCTATTTGATAAGGAACTGACGAGATATTGTTGGAAAGCGGTGAGCTGTAGTTCTTCCTACTATAAAGGTCTTCACAACTTACATTATACAAAATGAATCTTTATTACAAATTTTCTTATGCTAGAATTCTAAGCCTATAGAGCTATAGTATCCTTTTCAAGTTAAGGAAGTTATATGTTCACTTAGTTGAAATTCTTACAAGTTAGATAGTATATTTTTTACATAATTAAAGAAAGTAATTGGCCATAATTTAATTACATATATACATATATGATTAGTAATCTAAAAATAAGTAACTGATAATTACATATTATCACACGCAAGATAAGATTATAGCCTACTTTATAATGTAGGGTAGATATTTTTAGGATTACTACTTGCGATGTTATTATGTGCATTTAATTTAGACAGTAGTGAGTTAGAACATTTCATTGTAGATTCCTTTAACTGTTACAAGCCAGCAGCAGAGTTTATAAGAAAATACAAAATCAAAACAGGTTTTTTGTGATTATTTGGTGAGCCAAAAGTAATATGTACCTTGACGAAGCAAATTTCATAAATTTCTTCTGAAGTGAGGTGCAACATTTTCTCTGCAATTTCATCTGAAATAATAGCTGTTGCAAAACCGCTGTTGTCCTTAATAGTAACTTCAAATTGACATCTGTTTTGATAATTAATGAAAATATTTTAAAATAATGGTTAGTTAAGACATTTATTTCTTTGAACAAACAAAATAAATAATCTTAATTAGTTATTATTAATTAATTTTGTAGAAGAGCAAATATACCTAGGAATAAGATGTGTGGATCGGTGACAGCTTGTGCAATATATTTCCCTTCGCACATTATATCTCGTGAACAATTGCTTACAATTTGAGCATGCCAACACACTAAAGCGTTGATCCTTACTTGCAAGGGACAATTCAGCCTCAACATTAAATACTTGTCCCTTCAAATTGAATATACCAAATATTATTTTTTACTGGGAAATAAAAAAAAAATTAAAAATAGAATAATATAGTTGTTGTTCTCACTGGAGGTTGTGCCTGGATGTTAGCCACAGATATAACTTCATCCTCAAATGGAATCAACATAATAGAGCCTATTGGAGTTGTACTTTTCATCTTATAAGAAACAAGCTTTGTTTCAATTGTTTTGATCCTATAAACAAGTAAAAATACAAAAAATTATTAATATTAGCTCATCCAAAATAAAAGAAATAAAAGTGAAATTTCAAAACTTTGTGATTGTAAGATTAAAGATGTTTTTTATATCTCAAAATATTCTGAAATTTCGATGCATTAAATAAAAATGTATATTACCACGTCCTTAACTCAGCAGCTTGGGGATATGGAGGATTGATTTCAATTGTTGTATTGAATTTGCTCGTCAAACCAACAAATCTATTCGACGTTCCTATGTGCATTTGAATATGTCATTTTAGCTTTCATCATGTCATCTATTTTTCAATAAAGGAAAAAATAAATTTATTTGCACTTTTACCTGAGGATGATTTCCCAACTTTCCTAGCAAGAATGATCGGGTAATCATGAAGTTGGTTGAAAAGTTTAACTCCCTCATGATCAATAAAATCCTCCCAAAGTGTCAGTTTTGTTGGTTTTTTCCTGCATATGTTTTGAAGGATGTTTTCAAACATTAAAGTTGCAGAAGATATGTGATATTGTAAAAACATTATAAATAATAAAATTCAAATCTGATTATTATCAACAATACCAGCATTTTTGTGCTATAAAAGTCAAAATATAAGATTCATGAACAAAGAAAAGAGTCGAGTTGAACAACGAAATTGATGAACTTTTTAATCTATCAAAGTACTACAGGTATTCAAAGTGATTGAAAATTGAGATTCACAGACACTTAGTCTCACTGATTGGGGATTGTGAAGAAAATGATGAGATGATATTTGTCTATGATTACATAGCTAATGGGTCATTGAGAGAGAACCTTTACAAGCTCAATAAGCTACCCTTATGATGGAAGCAAAGGTTGGATATTTGTATTGGTGCAGTTAGAGGTCTTTACTATCTTCACACAGGTGCAAGGTACACTATCATCTATAGGGATGTGAAAACTTCGAAACTTTCATGGTTATGGTATTTTTACAGAAGCTAGTGGAATGAAGAAGATGAACAAGAAATAACATAAAAAGCAAATAAGAGACACATAGATACAACTATTAGAAAGATAATTTCAGATTATGTTTTTTAATATTATTATTTCTTTAAAACAGAGACATCATTATCATATCTTATCATTTTGTTTTGGCCCATCTAAAATATCTTTTTCTCTGCAAGAAAATCTACACTTGATGTTATCTTTATATATTAATTATAATAATTCTATGTTAAATATAACCTTCAGTATATAAAGTCATATGAAAGCTGTATATATTTTGGAATTTTGTATTATTATTAGCATCACATCAATTGAGTAACAGTACACACTACTACAAAAAAATTGTAACCTTTTGAATTAATCTTAAAACACTATCAACCAAAAAGAATCTTTCTTTGAAAACAACTAATAAGATATGAAGATAAATGACAAGAGTAATATTGTATATATACTTACAGCTTGTCTATGATAATAAACTGTTGAATTAGTTTTCCAGTTACAGTCTTTGTTGAAGGACTATTCAATCACATTACTTTAACAAAAGAGAGGGAAAGATGCACAAACAAACCAAAAAAAAAAGAAGAAAGAAGAAAAAGACAATCTTCGCAAAAATAAACAAGAACAGTCCTAAAACTACAATTAAACTCTGAAAAAGTAGTAACCATTTGGAGAAGACGACTACAAAGACAAACTATCAACCAAAAAGAACCTTTCTTTGAAAACAAGTAATAAGATATGAAGATAAATGACAAGAGTGATATTCTGTATATACTTACAGCTTGTCCATGACAATAAACTCTTGAATTCGTTTTCCAGTTGTAGTTTTTGTTGAAGGACTGCCATTAATGACAATGGCGAGTACATCTTGCATTAAACAAAAATAAAGAAAGAATAATTAGATCATGATAAATATTCTATTGTAGTAACAATGGATTTTATGTGAATAATAAGAATAATTAAATAAATTTATAAATACCAAATTCAAATTCTTTGGGTTGATACTCAAAAGTGTCAAATGTGGTAAGAGTTAGTCGTGTTGGTGGTGGTAATGGATCCTGTGGAGGTTTGACCTCTTCAACTGGTTCAACAATGGTGTTTTTATCAAGTGTCCAAATGAATTTGTTAAGTGAATTTTCATATCCAAGAGGTGGTACTTTCACATGTGCAACAGATACCAAGTAAGTCTTGAAAGGAGCAAATTCTTTTTCAAAATATGTTATATCAGTACTGTAAATAGTGGCCTGAACTTGATTCTCCTGTAAAAGAATTTGTAAAAAGTTTGATTAGTTGTGTAAAATTTAAAAGTTATTTTATTATTTTTCATATTATTAAAGTAAAAATATAAAATAATGGATTATTTAGTTAACTGAAGTAAAGTTACGATTTTAAAATCAATAATAAATTAATAAAAATAAATACCTCTTCATCTTGCAGAATTAAGACTTGGTATTTTGTGGTTTTATCTTTGTTGTCCCTTGGTCGACTTTTATCAACAACTTGGACTTTACATGTCCAATCTTTAGTATCGGGAGTGATCATATTGATGGTATATCTTTCCGCCATGTTGAACTATCTGCAATTAAAATACATTATAAGAGGATAAGCTAAAGGTAAATGTATAATGAAAGCAATATTACAATATAGATAAATATAAGGAAGTTGTATATGGGATTTACCATTGTAAATTAAAGCACAAAGTTCAAGAAAAGGCCTTTTCAATGATTTCATTGTAGACAACATTATATGTCGAATGATCATCATTTTCGTCAATTATAGGTGGTCTAATTAATACTTTGACATTGTGAGAACTTGTAGCTCTTGATAAAGCAACATACAATTGTCCATGAGAGAAGACAGGTTCGCGTAAATATATACCAACAAAATCTAATGTCTGTCCTTGAGCTTTATTTATAGTCATGGCAAAACATAATCGTACAGGAAATTGTGTTCTCTTAAAAGGAAGAGGCAATTTTTCATCTTCTGAAGTCATGAGTGGTATTCGTGGAATAAATACATGTGTATTTTTAAAATCACCGCTAGATATTGTTGCACTAATAACATGAGGTTTAAAATCATTACATATTAAGCGTGTCCCATTGCATAAACCTTCACAAGGATTTAAATTTCTTAATAACATAATCGGACAATTTTTCTTCAAAGTTAATTTGTATGGAGGTAAACCAGTAGGATTTAAAGTGTGTAAGAAATCTTCATATTCACTTTGATCTTTTGGATCAATAGTTTCATCTATAGCAATATACACTTTTTCAGTGTTTGGAAATTGAGAGATCAACATGTCATTTATTTCATCAACAAAATCATTTTTAGTTGTTAGAATAGCACGAGAAGTAATAAACGAAGTTTTTGTACAACATGTGTATAAATCAGGATAAGTATTTCTAAAGAGAAGATTTAGAGATTCTTTTTCAGAAGTAAAAGGATTATGAGGGAATGAGGAATTTGAATTTTTCCATGGTCATTTGTTTTTTCTTTTCCATCACCAATTCTCATTAAATATTCACAAAATTCAGGATCTTTAGTTGCACGCATATTCTTCGATAACTGTAATTTTTCAAGTTGATTCCAAATTTCAGAACACAATAAGCTTTCACGAATAAAATCTTCTTTTTTTCCACTACGAACAACCGGAAGAGTTTGTCTGAAATCACCACTAAAAACAACTATTTTACCACCAAATAACATATTTGTTTCCATTAGATCTCTTAAAAGTAAGTCAAATGCTTCAACCATTTTCTTTTTTGCCATTGAAATTTCATCCCACACAATTAATCGTGCATCTCGTATTAAAGATGATAGTGAACTTTGTTTACTAATATTGCAAGTAAAATTTTCATTGACATCAATAGGAATTTTAAATCGAGAATGAGCAGTTCGACCTCAGGGAAGAAGTGAAGCTGCAACACCAGAACTTGCAGTTGCTAAAGCTATAAATCCCTTGTGTCTTATTGTAGCTAATAAAGCACGATATAAAAAACTTTTACCAGTTCCACCAGGACCATCAATATAGAATGCTCCAAATTTATTTGACAATACTCTATCAAGAATAATATCGTAAGCTTTTCTCTGTTCAGTGTTTAATTTATTTTGTAATAATAAATCTTCCTCACTAACAATGATATTTCTTTCGTAATGAACTTCTTTAGCTTCTCTTGCTGTTGATGTAGGTTTGATATATTCTGAAATTAGTTCAAATTCATTAATGTCACGACCCATCGAATGAAGAACATCATTAATGCAATTTAATACTTTATAACGTATTTCTTTTACATTTAAGTTCAAACTTTTTTTGAAATCTTCAGACATTGGGCTTTCAAATCTTTCCCATAATTCTCTAGGATTTGTTGGATTACAATAAATCAATAACATAGCAAATAATTGTCTTAAACTGGATGGCATTTGATAACTTGCAGCTTCAGTCATGCATTCTACCAAATTATTATCACAAAGTAATAGTTCTCTTTTTTCTGCAGCTTCCCTAAATGAATTATATTGTACTCCATTTACAGTTCTGAGATCTTCATATGATTTTGGCCCTCTTACGTTCATTAAAAGAAGTCTAAGATAGTATCTTTCTCCCTCGGTTGGATGACATGTCACTACACGTCCAATAACATGACCTCTTTTGCGACGTGTCCACATTTTATCTGTTGTTGACCATACAAAATGTTCTGGAAATTCACGATATAATAAATTTAGATCCATAGCTTCTTTGTTTGATTTATTCATTAAAAAAAATTCAGTCAACATTGTTTTTCTTATCATGGGATTACTTGCAATTTTATTAATATTGTCGGTACTTTTGAAGGAAACAAGTTGTTGTCCATCAAGATGTAGTTGTAGATGATATACACTTGGACTCATTTCACTAATAGGAAAAGCGAATATTCTCCATGAAGCTTCAGGTGGTGATACCCACCTAGCAGATTGATATTCTTTTATTTCATCTATCTCTAGGTTTACATCATTAGTCTGTATATGAAATGCTATTTTATCATGTCCTTTGCAAATGTATTTATAAATGTACTTAACAACTTTTATATCCGAACAAATCTCTACATTTATATGACAGTTGAATTTACAAAGTAAATATGGATTGTAAGGTACAACCCATGAGTTATCAAGAAAGTGTCCTCTAATTTTCACACTTTTTCCTGTATTTCGTCTTCTATAAATTGGGTATGAATTTTTTCCTTTAGTTGTTTGTTCTACAAACTCTTTAGGATACTTACTTTTACAACGTCCTTTTTTTTTCATACAAGAATTTGTTGGATTCAACTTACCACAAGGACCATGCATCATGTGTTGTGTAACAAGTGAATATAAATAGGGATATATATTTTCATCTGGTATTTCAGCACATACAAATCGATCATATGCTTCTGGAGTTAGTAATTTGTAATTCTCATTTAGTATAATAAGAAAGTGAGCATGGGGAAGCCCTCGTTTTTGAAATTCTATTGTATACATAAATGCTGCAACTTTACCAAATATATGCCTTTTCATTATATCATTTTTCAATTCTTCTATTTTTGCCCTAAACACTCTACTAACCAGATCAGGCCTATTTTGTACCTCATCAGTCGATATAAGTTTTTCTTCTATTTCGGGCCAAGAAGGATTACATGTTATAGTAAAAAATATATCAGGTTTTCCAAAACGTTGTACTAATGCAATAGCATCCATATACCGTCTACGCATATCTCTTGGACCTCCAGTAAAGCTAAGTGGAAGTATGCGTTGTTTTCCTATATGTGAAGCTTCTCTTTCCCCCTTACGTAAAACATCCAAAATTCCGTCTAACACATCAGTTCTAATTAAATCTTGATTAAAAGAAGCAAAGTCTAATCGTTGGCTTTCAATTTTTATCCATTCATCTACTACATATTGTTGGAATAATCTTCCTGCATGCAAGACTATATTTTCATCATCTCTTATTTGGAGTTTGTAACAATAATATTCACGACAAGAAATAGTGTCTCGTTTGTGCTTTTCTTTTAGCATAACTTCGGCTTCCATGTTAAGCAGTCCATCTATTGAACACATATTTTTTATACTTGGTAGTTGTTCTTGTTCGCAATATATTTGTGTTGATGTTCTTGAAGAACATTTAATTTTCTTAATACCACAGTGCCATCCACCTTGACCATATGGAAATAGCAATGGATATTGCAATGGGTCATAACAACCGTAATAATAATTTACCAATTGACTTTTATCACTTTTGTATATATTCGAATATGTGGTGGAGTAGAATTAGTAATATCTTGTTCTACCCATATTCCTGCAACTTCTGATACTGTTGGTAAGTTATATATACGCTGATCTAAGCCAGAATCACACTTAAGTGCAATATAAAAATCAGATAATTGTGGAACATCTATTAAAGACTTTAAAAACATAGAGTATGGATTAATTTTTAGTATTTCCATCAAAGTTCTCACAACATACTCATTTAATTTATTTGAACATGCCATTCGATTTTGTAATTCATTTTGACTATCAAAAAAATATAACTGCAGATTTTTTCCTTTTTTATTGGTAGGAATCAAGTCATTGATGAAATGATACATCTGACCTTGAACCCGAAAAGTATAAATACCATTATTTCTTTTTGCTAATTCTTTGTCATAAGTTACTCCAAGAGATGTGAAAGCAAATATATTATTGTACGTTCTAATGTAAGTTCTAAAATGTTTTGATAGCTCTGTATTGTCCAGATAAAGGTTCTTTAATTCTATTGGAATCTCATGTGAAGTTAATTGAACAGAACCATTGCTACAACAAAATGCAGGCGGTTCATATTCAAATTTTTTGGCTTTACAAAATTGACAATTTGATACTTCTTTTAATTTGATATAATTCATTTCTGATGGCATAGTACTACCTATTTCTGATAGGAGCAACATGGGTTTTCTCATAATAAGATTAGAACTTTGTGCAACAGAAACAATGGTGGAATTAGAAGATGATGCAGTAGGTAAATCATTATTCATTGAACTTTCAGATAAGTTATGTTTTCTTATTTCAGCTCTCTTTGCTCGACGACGTGCTAGAAGAATCTTTTTTTCCTCAGGTGGCATCAATTTGTATAATTCGCGTCTCCTAGCATTTCTATCCGCATTTGATTTTTGAAAAACATGCACATTTTTATGATTTATATTAGAAATAATGGTGGAATTAGAAGATGATGCAGTAGCCAAATCATTATTCATTGAACTTTCCGATAAGTTATGTTTTCTCATTTCAACTCTCTTTGCTCGGCGACGTGCCAGAAGAATCTCTTTTTCTTCAGGTGGCATCAATCTGTATAATTCGCGTCTCCTAGCATTTCTATCCGCATTTGATTTTTTTAAAGCATGCACATTTTTATGGTTTCTATTACTTGACATATTTGGGATCTAAATGATTTTACACAAAACAATTATCTGATAAATAATAGTAAGAATTTTTGATAAATAATAGTAATAATTTTAAAGAAGGGATTAGTACTTACCACACACTAAGAGAGAAGTGAAACACAGGAGCGAACAAATATCGTAAGGAAGTGAAAATTCTGTAAAGTTAATAGT